AATTCAGATAAAAATCAGATAATAGTAAAGTTAAAACTTTCTCAACAAGAACTTTTAGTTACTTCAAAATAAGCATGTCTACGAGGAGAATTGTGGCACAGTGAGTTAATTTTGTATTGAAGTGCAAGATTGAGTCCCAGGTATTTTACTTCTAATTCATCTCCCTGCTAATGCACCTGGGGAATCAACCAAAGATGGCCCAGGGATTTAGGGCCTCTGATTCTGATGTGGGAAAGCTGGCTCAACATCCTGAGTCCTGGCCTCAGCCTGGCCCAGTCCCAACTACTGCACCCATTTGGGAAGTGAACCAGCAGACAGGAGATCTCTTTCTATTTCTCTCTCTTTCTCTCTGTCCCTCTGCTTTTAAACAAATAAGTAAGTAAATAAATAACTATATTTTTAAATGGTCAATTGTCTTTTTCTTTTTTGTTTTTACATTGAAATTCAGTTGTATTTTGGATTTGTCTCCCTCCCTGAAATGGTGCTTAATAGCTTCAGCCCTCAGTATGGTTCAGGTATTTTCCTTCCTTGGAGCTCCTCCTGTCACAATGGCAAGAGACCTCTCTCCTTCTTTCTTAAAGAAATCTCAGTTTTCATACAGAAAAGCAAATACAAAAACAGAACAAGAAAGTCATAACTAATATAACAAAGTAGTTAGTTCTTAGAGTTTTGAGACTAAAGAAATATTTTTAAAGTCTATTTTAGTCATTATTGTCATTAATAAACCTTTAATTTGGTAATTTGCGAGATCTGTTTCATTGAAAAATATGTATGTTTTCACACATGACTCCTAATAGCTAAATTATAAACTTACACAGTCATTTTTGCTTTTTTTCATATAATTTTGGCAGGCTTACTTAATGTGTGAGCTCAGAGAATGCAAAAACCACAGTATATCTGAGGCATCCACTTTGCCTTGTACACCAGGGCATTCAATAACCACTTAATAACTACAATCCTGATCGTAAAAGCATTTTTCCTACTCAGTGGATTTATGCAATATTTCTTGATTTTCAAAAATGTTCTCCAGCACAGCAAATGACTTTGACCTTGAGGGTGAAGCAAAATAAAGCAAAGCAAACAAAAGACTCTACATTATTTCTTCCAGAGTAAATGATTAAATGATTTTTTTTCATGCCCTCTGACTTAATCTTACAGTGGTCATACTTTTTTTTTTTTTTTAAGATTTGGTTTGTTACAGAGAGCATGGTGATAGAAGTTTTAAAAAGTTCAAATTATAAAATTTATACAAATAACAAAAGCTAAAAGTATACAGAATGTGTGTTCATGTGTGTATGCATGTGAATGTGTAATAAATATAATACCCAAGTCCCTATGTATAAGGCTGATATATTCAATTTTAAAGCTAGGCTTTGTACTATTGATACATTATGCATGTTTATTACATATAGGAATATAAAGTCATATATGTGAGAAATTCTTTTTCAAAAATAGCGTTAATAAATATTAAATATTTTAGTACACACTAGGTACATTAAAAATTAAAATAATCACTATTAAAAATTCTTAAAAGAGCAGCAAAAATGTCAAAGGAAAAGACATTGTAATGAGATTTAGCTTTTCTATAGAGTAACTTCTTGGAAGAATCAAACAGCTCATCAATTCCTACGTCCACCCATTCCCTAGACACATTCATTATTAATCTATATACTGGAACTATGATCTTCAGTATTTTATTCATATTTACCAAGTATTTAATTTTTTCTATTAATTGAAAAATTATAGTATTCATCCAACACTTGTGTAGGATAGGGGCAAAGATGGAGGTATTTAATATTTTCTGAGTTCTGCTTTACAGTATATCAAACATGAATGTTTGTATTGATTAATTATAAAAAAATAGCATCTCATTATAAATTGGGTCATCAGAAAATTCTTAAAAGGTAAAAAGAGAAAACAAAATAATTCTGGGAAGTGAAATTTTAATTCCCAAGCTAGAAATCTAATTAGCAAATCAAAAGGGTAATTTCCTCTGTTAAATTTATCTTGCTGAATTGAGCACTGGGACTAATGTTCTTTCAAAGTCCAGAGTGCTAACCATTACACAATGGGGCCCACAACTAATGTTCTTTCAAGGGTAATTTTCACATTACATGACAACATTTACTGTGTAACTGTTGAGTAGGGAAATTCTATAAGTATTGTTTCAACAGTCAGACAAGTCTGAGTTGATATCATAATGACTAATTTTATGGACTTCAAGGAATTATCTTCACATCGTTAAGATTTAGGTTTCTAAGTTTTACAATGTTTCTTAATTCATATGGTTTTGTTTTTGTTTTTAAGAATATTCAAGATAACCTATGTGTTTATTGATCACATTTTCTTTTATCTGTTTTTTTTTTGCAAAGCATAATTTCAATTGACTCTCTAATCACAGTCTTAATGCACCACCAACCATAATACTCAATGAACAAAAAATACAAAGACCACAGTTCCACTCAACCATGGTAAGACATGGCAAATGTTTGGCATGCACCTGCTTGATAACCAGTAACAATTTTCATTATGTTATCATGTAATTTATAATAGGAAAAATTGCTGTTTGACCTTTCAAATCAGAAAAAATACTAATGCAAGGCTGGCAAGATGGCATAGCATAATTCTCTACTTGTAATGCCGGTATCCCAATTTGCATCTTGGCCGTTCCATGTCCAATCCAGCTCCATGCTTATGACCTGGAAAAGCAGGGGAGGATAGGCCAAATCCTTGAGCTCCTTAAGCCATGTGGGATACCCAGAGGAGGATGCTGGGTCTTAGCTTTGGATCAGCTCAGCTGCTATCATTATGGCCATTTGTGGAGTGAACCAGTGAATTGAAGCTCTCTATCTTCTTTGTAAATCTGCCTTTCTAGTAACAAATAAATACATAAATATTTTAAAAGTACTAATATGATCTGAGCATCAAATCCAGGACCTGCAAAATAAAATTGTGAATATAATTAATGTGCTTCTTGCCTTCATGGGTTCACAATCAGAAGATACAGATAAGCAGGCAACTGTCATACACTCTAACAGGGTTTAGCACAGGTTTATTAAGTGTATGAGTCTTGGAAGGAGGGGTAGAATAAAATGGTTTTTGTGAGCATAAAGATACAATGCATGAGGCTGAGTATTGGGGAAACAGAATGGGTTGAAAGAATATTGTAAATAAAGAGAACAGATATGAGAAAGAGAACCTGAGAAAGCACAAAGAATCTCATGACATGAAAGATCAGTGTAGCTGGTGAGGAGGGCTAGGGAAGACTAGTCCATGAAGCTGAACCTTCAGAGTCATCAGTTTTTGTAAGGACTCACAGGCCATGTTAAATAATATAGACTGCTCTGTGGGCAAATCCTAAACTGTTAGAGAAGAGGGAATTATGGCTATATTTGCCTTTTAGAAAGACCATCTGTTATCAGCACTGGTTGTAGGCAGTGGAGATTCAGAGAAATGGGCAAGGAAAAGTTGACCTGGCAGTCACTAGTAAGTGGTTAAATGTAAGGGTAGGAGAGTACATGGGGTCTCTGGTTAGATGGTAGCACTGGAGACTACCTGACATCCAATTCAAATCACGTGCTTAAGGTGAATATTGTCATATATTCCTTAATCTGTATAAGGAAAGGTAAAAGTTTTAAATGGAAAAAATGTCCCGATGGTGGCAAATATTTCTTTTAACACAGGGCATCAAGAGTTGATGTTCATCACCCATATATTCATTTTTCTAATAAGTATTTTGTATATGCTATGAACTTCTGTTTATACAGCATTTTTCTTTTTCTCAAAGTCTTTAGCTCATGTGGCACCTTGGAAGTCCTTCTCAATGGTTTGGAAAATTCTTCCAGGGAACATTAAATGTGAAGAAAATGTTCTTCAATTACAATTTTGGATAACCATAGTCGGGAACAGTCCATAATAAATATTAAAAGAGTATAGGATGCAGAAACAAATCTGCTGAAGCGCAGATAGTACAGGAAGAGTATCTTGGTAAAAGGACTTGGAGGCATTGCTGGCTCTGTCTGGTGAGGTCCAATTGCTAATGGCACTCTATAGTTACTACCTATATTCAGCCCTTCAATGAATTGCATCATTAATTAAAAGACATGCCCAAGAAAGTGCATTTTTGAACATTTTTTAGGAAGACTCAGTAGAGTGGTCTCATGAGCAGACTAGCTTGATTTCAATCTGGCATTCACCACTTAATATTTGAGCAAGTTCAACAGGTGTTTGTTGGTTCATAGCATGTTCATTTTCCTCATATATAAGTTTGGAATAATGAAACCAATCTTGTGAATGTAAACTAAGACAATACATGTGGTATATTGTGACGCTTCATAAACGGTGTTCTGTCCATAGTGGCTGTCACCAAATGCTGTTCACGATCAGCATGAACTGAATTATCAGAACTCAAATGACATTTTACTGATGTATTCTGTATTACTTGTAAAACCCAGTAGGATTTTTTTCTAATTACTTTAGAAATGTGCTAAAGTCTAAATAGGCATAATTTGTAAGAACTGTTTAAATGTATGTATATATTTATTTTATATTTTTATTTTGAATTTTTGAATTATGTGGTACAATTTTGTTTAGACTGGGATTTTCTCCCAAACTCCCACCCCCCTACAGATTTTCCCCACTTTATTACAGCTAGCTTTTCTTTTAACTTAAAAAAATTATAATATATTCATTAGATTATCATAAGGAACAAATCAGTTGTTATTTGTTCATTCATTGAATAATCTTTCCTAAGGATGAGAAAATTAACATTAACCCATAATTCCTGAATTTATCCATATTGTCCATGGATTTAAATCATTGATGTCTGTAAAACAGAATTTTATAGGTTGGCAAAACCTAGATGACAAACATATATCTCCATAACTTCAAGTGCTATATATATGTATATATATACACATATATCTTATATATAGATATTATACATGTATAAATTCATTCCTACCCCATATCTTTAGAACCTTACCTCCTTACTTTCTTCCAGATCTGATTCACTACTGAAGTCCTCTGTATTTAAATTTTCGAAGTCTGACTCCCCTACAGCAATAGGTACAGTCACAGTAAGACTGGGATTATTTATGAATGACATATAATCACTTTCATCAATAATGTATTTTTCAACACTGCTGCCAGTTCCTATACCACTTGTGGTTCCATTTACATCTTTAAGATAGTCAAGATCTTTTCCAATCTCTGCTGTATGGTTGGACATACAACTGTCTTTCTTATTGTTTAAGTCATCAAGTGGTTTAATCTCATCCAAAATCTTTTGTTTCCTGACGAAGGATTGTTGGATAAATTCATATATTTTTCTTTTTACGTAAGCTATCCCCTTGTGCATTCTGTCAACAGCAATCTGAAGGTTGTTCATTTCATTGTCATCGTCAGTGGCTGCAAGGTTGTCCGCACTAAATGAGCTCAGAAGCAACGCTAGAAAGAGGTTCAGGACCTTAAAAATAATAAAATAAAATTACAATTTCACCTAAAATAAAGAAGAGAAGGTTATGATCACTTACTACTGTAAGTTCTAAAATTACATGAGGGAGAAATATCACACAGCATATGACTAAAACATGGTAACCTGAATTGTTGTTTGACTCAATCAACAGCTATTTACTTTACATCCATAGGCAAACACATTTCTACTGGCCTTAATTTTTCCCATTTGTAAAATAAAGAATGTGAACGACTTAATATGTGATTAAATTTAGAGTAGTCTGTGTAACGCATAACATATAGGTGTATGTACATTTAAAATATATATACATATATACTATCTAGAATTATCGATTTTTGAAATAATTACTGCAATAATTATGTGGGAAAATACATTTTTTGGATAGAAAGAGTAAATTGGATATTAATTGAACATCACTATTATGACAATGAGGATTAAAGGTTTAACTTAGGCATTCTTAATATTTATTTCCTAACCCATCATATTTTAATAACCTGTTGGTGACTAATTAGGAGAACTATGAATATATAATTTCTAATATTTTTATGACACTGGCATATTAATTGTGTTTCGTTTGAAATAAACTATAGATCTCCACATTATGTAGAGTAACACCAAATTAAAAACAGAAATATTATTTCAGTAGGATGATCATAGACATGATTAGCCATACTGTGACTTAGAGCCACTACAAAATGATCAACATGTGTTGGCTAATACATCTATCATATCACATAGAGTAAGTAAATGCTGTATTACCTGAAAAAGGGAATGAAATGACATAATTATTATGAACACTTATACTCATCACTTTTTAGTGCCATAGTAAGGTTAGTCTCTCTACATATATTTTTTTCAACACCATTGCCAGTTCCTATAGCATCTATGGCTCCATTTATATCTTTATGATTGTCAAAATCTTTCCCAATTGCTGTTATATGTTTTGATGTTAAATATATTATTCATTATTTTTAAAAGAGTTCTTCCTTCTTTGGCTTGGAATTTGTAAAAATGTTCTCAGTGCAACCTCTTAGATCCATCTTCAACATGATATCTTACTGAAATTCACATAACAACTGTGTTGAAATGAATGACACATTAGAGTGGACGATAAAAATTGTTGAATTACTGCTATAAGATCACGTTTTCAAAGTGAGAATGTAATCATGTCCAAAATAACATACTTTAAAACTATAATCACATGGTATATTTGGACAAAATGGATTAATTCATTACACTCTTTACATATTTCTGAAATATATATATCTTAAAGGCATACATACCACAAGGTTTCCGATCACCATGACCATCATGAAGACAGTAAGGCACATGGCTTGGCCAGCGACCTCCATACAGTCCCACATGGTCTCTATCCACTCTCCACACAGCACACGGAACACGATCAGAAAGGAGTGAAAGAAGTCATGCATGTGCCAGCGGGGAAGTTTACAGTCGCTGGCAATTTTGCAGACACAATCTTTGTAACTTTTGCCAAAGAGCTGCATACCAACCACAGCAAAAATGAAGACTATTATAGCCAACACCAGGGTTAGGTTTCCCAGAGCCCCCACTGAATTTCCGATGATCTTTATCAACATATTTAATGTCGGCCAAGATTTTGCCAACTTGAAAACTCGGAGCTGGAAAATAAAAAAAAAAAATTAATATGCATTATAATCATTAATTTTATTGAGGTTTGCCAAGAAGTGATGATCAAAGTTGAATGCCTTACATCATCTTACCTGCTCTTCTCTCAAATTCATAACTAATTTTTGGATCCCTTAGGAAAAATTAATTTATTCTTTCATATATAATCATGTAGTTAATTTTCTCTAACAGCAAATTTTTTTAAAGATTTATTTATTTTTATTACAAAGTCAGATATACAAAGAGGAGAAGAGACAGAGAGGAAGATCTTCCATCCAATGATTCATTCCCCAAGTGACCACAATGGCCAGGGCTGAGCCGATCCAAAGCCAGGAGGCAGGAACTTCTTCCGGGTCTCCCACATGGGTGCAGGGTCCCAAGGCTTTGGGCCATCCTCAACTGCTTTCGCAGGCCACAAGCAGGGAGCTGTATGGGAAGTGGAGCTGCCGGGATTAGAACTGGCGACCATTTGGGATCCCAATGCTTTCAAGATGGGGATTTTAGCCTCTAGGCCACTGCATTGGGCCCTCTAACAGTAAATTTTTAACAATTATTTAGGATTTAATTATTCCTTCCTTTAATAAGGGAATTCTAAGATAATTTTTAAGGTAAAATTAGCTGTGAATCTGAATGGTCTCTGATGTAAGCCTCTCTTTTGTCAATATCATGAAAAATAAATCCATATTGAGCCCTGATATATATTCATCAACATTTCTTTGGAACAATAAGATGTATCTGCATTGAAATCTTGGAAATTTTTTCTTTGATTCTATATACTTTTCTTGATTGCAATAGTATATATATGTTAATTAAGGAACATGTTCAGTAACTCCAAAAACTTTCTTTCCTCTGATATTGTATTTTCCAGAAGTAGAATTGGGAAATGTTTTTGTGCATGTACCTCATATCTGATTGTCATAGATTGCTATTTATATTTTTAATTTGCTGTTAAAAGATGATGCACTTTATTCAAGTAATTTCTGATATTTGGAAATATTAACTGTAATAGTCTATAGAAAATAATAATTAGAATGATAACTGATTAATATAATGTTCACATGATCATGCTCTTTGTAATAAAGATTATTTTTAAATAATTGGGAAGCAGATATTGATAATATAGTGTTACCCCAAAAAGTAAAGTGCTAGTGATAGTACTATTCAAGAACATGCATTGTTGGGAAATTTTTGTTCGTTTTTTTACCAATCGGAATGAGCGGAGCACTGATAATCCTTCCACGTTGGCGAGGCCAAGTTCTACCAGACTAAGAGTCACAATAAAACCATCAAAGATATTCCAGCCCTCTTGAAAATAATAATAAGGATCCATGGCAATAATTTTCAGAAACATTTCTGCTGTGAAGATTCCAGTGAAAACCTAAGAGCAAAACAAAATCTTGATTTCAAACTCACAAATTACATAACAAGACATTCTACTATTTGAGTCTAATTGTTATGCTACTGCTATTTCCAATTTAAATTTGCATGCTAAATTAATAAATCATTTTACCTTCATACAAGCTCTAGCAAATGGATTAATTATGATTATTACTTTATAGATGAAGAAACTGAGGTCTTCAGAAAGGTAAAATGCTCTGCCTGACATTTTTTCCATTACACTTATTTTTTTTCTGTAAATCTAATTGTTTTTTGTTTCAGGTTTCATATAACACAGAAAGTGACAATATTTTTTACATGTTTGGCTTGGCTTTTTTTTTCTGTTTAAGATTATTCCCATTTTCCTCAAACCATTTAGAAGTTATACTTATGTATCATAACTTGTACATTGGCATCACTATGGTCTTGCTACATAGAAGAGATGGATAAAACAATATATATAATTTGAAGATAATGGAAGCAAAGGAGCTGGAAACGTTTTTGAATCACCACATGTGTCTTACATTGATCCTGACTTAGGGAGATAAAAAGACACACATCTTGGTTCAAATGTTACCCTTCCTGCTACCAATATGGGAGACACAGGTTGGGCACCCAGTTCCCAGCTTTGGCCTGGTCCAGCCTCTGCGTTTCCAGCATTTGCAGAGTGAACCAAAGAATGTGAGATTGCTTGCTCTCTCTCTCTCTTGCTGTGTCATTTAAGTAAACTTCACAAGCTAATGAATTTTTTTTAAAAGACCCACAATTTCACTTTAGTCTTCAATAGCCAGTGAAGTTGTGATAAAACCATTTTTGAAAATGTGTCTTTAAACTGATCTATTCCTGCATCGTGAAAAACTTGTAAATATCACGATTAACTTTTCAAGTAGTACTGTAGGTATGTGTCTACTTTTCTTTTTTTTTTTGCCAAGTTTTTGTATGGACATGAAGGGTCCTTGTTTTGGCAGAAAGTAAGGTTTAGCTTGCTAGACATAATTCACATTTTGGGAGCTCAGTGGTAGGAAGAGTGGTTGAAAGATTGCTATAAACTATATACTAATAACACTCTCACAAACAAAAATTTTGAAGGCTAAAATACATTTACCTTCTAATATGCTTACCAAGTTTCCTACTGTAAGCACATTATTGAAATGTTCTGTCATTGGATAGTGCTCCATGGCCATGAAAAGAGTATTTAAGACAATGCAGATGGTGATCGCCAGGTCTACAAATGGGTCCATCACGACCAGGTTGACAATGTGTTTCACTTTTAACCAGTATGGAGAACAGTCCCATATTAAGAACATATTTGAAAATTTATACCAACATGGTGGGCATTTCTGTCTGGATTCTTCAAGTTCTAGATTTTAAAAATAGAGAAAAATAACCACCAAAATGTATATTTTGTAAACACATTTTAAAAATACAGTTTCAATCCATGAGATGTATTTTCATTAATCCCATTTGAAATGAGTTCCATTTGAAGTGAAGCTCATTTGCAGTTTGATAAAATAAACAGACAAAACACAGAGGCAGCCATTTGGCCTGGCCTCTAAGCTGCTGGTTAAGATTTCTGCTTCCTATGACTAAGTACATTTATTCTAACCCTCGTTTTGCTCTTGATCCCAGCTTTCTGCTAATGTGTACTGTGAGGAGCGCAAGGTGATGGGTCAGTGGGTTGGGTTCTTACCACCCACATAAAGAGCTGCACTTTGCTTCTGGATCCCGACATGTGATTGGCCTCTCCCCCGTTGTTGCAGATATTTAGGAACTGAAGCAGTGGATAGATCTCCCTTCTGCCTCCCTGTCTTTCTGCCTCACAAATAAAATAAATTCTAAAAAATAAATTTTCTATACACGCCCAAAGATATTTCATTAGATTTCCACAGAGAATAGTAGTAAAGAATAGCTCCATGTCTCCCCATTCCTTTAGGCACTGATGCTGTGGCTCAGTACCTGCAAAGTGACTGGTTTCTTCAGTAGTCTCAGTGAGAACATGTTTTGGGGTTATGTAGATACTATCAGTAAGTCTGTGTTAATGACTGGCTGTAATGTCAGTTGAAGGTTGTAAGATTTAGGTAAGAAGCAGCTGATCCAAGAAACATCTTTAAGCTTGTTTTAGTTTTGTGAAAATCACCTGTCCCTTAACTCTAATCTTAAAAATATTTAGCACGAGGCAGAAAGGGATTGTTATGGTGACATTCTTAGCTAAGTGGAACAAAAAGGGGGACACTATAATGAAATCATTGGAAGTCACTAAAAGAAATACTTTGCTCTGAGTTTTCAAGGAATTTTCAGGAAGAAAAATATTCATTAGAAACCAGTGTCCTTTCCTAAAGCTTTTGGAATATGTGAATATAAATAATAACTAATAACATCTATTGTTTTATCAGTAAAATGCAAGGTTTCCAAATCATAAACAGAGATGTTTAGGAGATAATGTGGTTTAGTTAAATAACTGAAATGGAGCAGAATTTGTTACAAACCTTCCACTGTATTTGTTAGGATGCTGGCTATACTCATTGCTCTTTGTCTTTGGGAAGGATCTTCCAGAAAGTCCATGGAAACATGGAAAGAACTAGACCTTCTCTTCCTCATTTCAGTTTCAGTGGTTGTTCCCTGTGAAGAAAATGCTAATGCATTAAATGATTAACTTGTGCAATATGTTAAGCAACCAGTCAAATGGTAGTACAGTGAATTTCATGAAACACATGCATCATGCACTGTCATACTTAATTGGTAATGCAGAAATTGCTGACTTATTGATTCATTAACCTGGAATTTCCAAACTGTTAGCCATTTAGTCTTTTTTTAATTCTCTGATTTCATAAACTCCTGAAACATTTATTTTATATATTTGGCAAATCTATTAGCAAGTACTATAATAATTACTATAATAGTAATACTGATTGCTGAATCAAATATAAAAATCTGATAATTTTTTTAAGTCCCATAAATGATCAAGACTTTTGATATTTGAGAAGGTAGCTACTTTTTTTAAATACTAAAGATTGAACACAGCTGCTATCTCATTTTCTGGGAATAAAACTTGAATGGGTACTGACAAACAACTCATATGTTGAAAATAAAATACACATGCTGAATGGACAACAGTTTCATCCAGGGCACCGAACCAATAAGTCATCTAATTCTGACTTATCATGCCTCATCATGCTGATATAATTCCAAGTGAGTAAACTAAATTGATTCAGCATCTGCTTAGAAGTTGCTTATCTGAATATACAAATTCATAATATACATTTGTACACAGACAGTTACTTTGTGCATATTTGTAATTTATATCTCTTCATTCAGATTACTTGCGAGAAGGCCTATATCAGCATTTTGTTTTTAGTAAAAGACAAATGAATGCTAGATATTTTAAGGTAATGAGGATGTCTAGTTAAGCACAGTGTTTTCAAAATTCTAGACCAAAGCAGACATATGTTCAATAATCTGTTGGAAAGACTTATTATACACCCCTCACACTTAAACATAAGAATCATTTATTTATTTCAATATCAGAACTTAGAGGAGGTCTTGTCATTGAACAGGGGTATATAGCAAATCCTCCAACTGGAGTCAGACATTATTGTGCCTAATCTTTAGCATGTTCAGTAAGTAAATGCATTCAGGTTTGTGCAGGAGAGTGTTGAAGTTTTGAGTATTACTCGGTTAGTCTCTTAAAAGTATTACAAGATGCAGGTGCATTCACAGCTTGACCAACTAGGAATCATTCCCAAGAGTTCCATTCTGTAGAAACACTGGCTGGTGCAGCAATAATGGGCCAGCCATGCCTAAACTATTTAAAACATCCTTACATGGTCATCAGTAGCTGGCTTATCTATTATCACCTCTGGCAGAAGCTGTCCAACAGGCGATGTAGGAACCGAAGGTCCACCAACCAAGGAAACCACACCATTGCAATCCACAGTGCTATGCATCTTCCCATTGGCTGGAAACACGGCCAACATCCGGGACGACCTACTGGTCTGACTGAGGTTACTGTTGCGGCGCTCGCCATGACGTCGGGGCACAAACAAGGAGTCTCTCCGGCTCTCGTTATCCTCAAAGGTGCTGTGTTCGTCATCAGCAAAGTCATTCTCAGAACCCACATCCTTTGCTCGTCCCCTGAAGCTGAAAAGGCTTGTCCTGCTATTTCTCCTTGGAGAAAACAGGGAGCCACGAATGCTCAACAAAGACTAAAAGTTCAGAAAAACAATATGAAAAAGTAAAATCATGTTAACAAGCTCTTTTAGAAGTACTTTGCTTTTACAAGATTGTTACAGGAATTTCAGTAGCCATAACAGAATGTGTTTCATTTTTTTATTAGCATTCTCCTTTTATGTGCATTCAGATTTCTTGCCCTAAAGGTTAAGAAACAAGCAGGCATACTGCAAACCAAGGATATGGCAAGACAAAGTGAAGTCTGACCCATCCCTTTTCAGGTTGAAAAGAAGCATCTGATTCATACTGCAGAGAACAATGTAAATATTCTTTTAGCACTAGCAATAGATGCCAACAAGGCCACACTGCTTTCATTGCTCTTCCCTTTTAAGGAATTTCAACACTTTCCACCAATTATTTTAGCACTTAATTCTTTCTGTCTTTGTTATAGAGCATAGTGTTCCTGGAACGTAAATTTCAGACTTCTCCGAGTAATATGCTTTCAAACAAAGTATATCATGACTAATATTTTCAAAAGCAAGTATAATGGTTTATGAAGAAGACAGGGGAGATGAGCAACATAAAACTAGAGCATAACCAAAGGGTCACTATGATAAGCTCAGCGCAGAGCTATGCTTTTGTTGTTAAGAGATCTGAACACACAAAAAAATATCAAATGTGATTAGTTGCAGACAAATGTCAGAAGACAATCTCAGAAAAAAGTCCAGGTTTCTTGAATTGCAACTGAAGGTTATTTCAACTATACCAAATTGTACATTCACATATATTCACAATAAAGCTTTTCAATAACCATGTGGAGGGAAGTTGGGTTTGACTATGATAAAAGTTGTTCAGTTGATGGAAATTCATGAGTCCCTTATAGTTTTCATGCATGTGTCAACAAACTCAGAAATACCATACCTGGTGTGGGGAAGAGTACCTCTTTTCATAGGTTAGTCGGTTCCCTTCGATGGAGAAGCGAAAACCCTTCCTTCTGATGCTGTCTTCAGATTCAGATTTATGGAATTCGTCCTCATCTTTCTCTTCCCCACCAGACTGCTCTTTTTGTTTTCTTTTCTTCCTGCGATTTCTTCTCTCCTTTGCACTCTTGGAACTCAACTTGGAGGCTTCGGACGAACTGTCTGAGAGTCTACCGGCTGCACTGGGCTCTCTGGAATGATCCGAGGTAGTTGCAGCTGCTGCCTGCTACATTGAGGAAAAACAGTTTCAGTACAGCGTTATTGAAGACCTTGTCACTCACAAAACATTGTTTATGAGATATATTCAGCTGACAGAACGCTCACACAGAAGTTGCTCTGTGAATATATGGGTTAGGGGTGTTTTTTTTTTCCTCTTGAAGGCTTTTAGAGATAATTCAGTTTTCCTCATGGTAACATTTATTATGTCTGTGTTGTGTTTCAGAGACTAATATTCAAATGGATCCACTGGGCATTGACAAGAACATAAATTCATTCTACTTGCTGAGATTGATTTTTCTTAGAAAATTGATATTTAATTAGCATTGTCTTTTTTTTCTCTCTCTAAAAAAGGAACCGGAGCATGGAAGAAAAGCTGGCAAGTTACTTGAAGTCACGTCCAATGGTAAGAAAATGAGATAAAAGTCCGAAGTCCTGTCTGCAGTCATTGAAATTGTGCTTTCTAATGCCTTCAACATGTCATCCATCAAATTCGTCAGAGGCTATTCAATCTCTTCCTCGTCTTTTGGTGATACTCTCTTTATACATTAGAATGGGGTGGGATGAGGGTGTGCGCCAAGAGTTTTCTTGTTAGGCAAGACAAGTTCCCAGGTCTCTAAAAAGTTGCTGCTACCAGCTTCAGTGGAGCACTGGTTCTTGCCATGTGGGTATGCAATAGCACAATTTTTTTTTCACCCCGATACTATTTTAGGCTACAGGGATTTGAGTTTGTACTGTGACACAGTATGTTTTGATGATTGTCATTGTTCCCAGACTACCTATATTCCCAAAGTAACTTTATTAATTAATTTAATTGATAGAGAACTTGAAATACTAAAAAGAGTGTGGAAAGATAGGAGTCGTAGGAGGTCTGTTTTGCATTTTTTCCCCTATAAGCAGTGACATCTCCCTGTAAGAGCAAGCTTTCCTTCTTAGATTACCTGATCTCCACAAGATTCATGATGTTCATATGCATGTTGGAAACCACTGTGTCAGAGAACATTACAGTATTGATCACTTCCTTACAATGACAGTTAAGCAATCACAATAGAAGCCAACCTATTTTTGGTTAGAGAAAGGATGAGACTGTTTTTAAGAACCAGATGAGTATCTTAGTATGAAATAACTAATACATCTTTTCCAAAGTAAAAACAGAATCCATTAATTAGGATTTTATTCTAATGTCAATAAACTCAGAAGTTTTTCACTTAGGAAAATCCAAGATATCGTATTTTATGTTTAATTCTGAGAATCTTAAGATTAAAATAACATGGAAGGGTTTATTATGGTTAATATTATAAAAATCAATGGCATACATAAATGAAGCTAAGCATAATCAAAGTACAGAAATCATTAATACGTTTCTATGCTACCTGGTTTCTTATTTGTCACACAGTTGTATCTCTCATTTTCTGTCCAGTGCTTTTGCAACAACCAAAGCATTAGAAAAGTTTGCCCCTGTGAAACAGGTCATCCTTGATTTGATGACTTTACCTGAGCTGCCTCTTGCTGCTTTTTCAACTGCTCAAGCATCTGCTGAAACTCAGCTTCTTTCTGTTCAGCCTCTTCCAGGGTGGCCTGATTCTGTTCCTCATAGGCCATGGCCACCACGGCCAGGATCAGATTTATTAGGTAGAATGAGCCCAAGAAAATGACCAGCACAAAAAATATCATGTATGTTTTTCCAGCAGCACGTAATGTCTAGAAACATAAATATCAGAATTTTTTCCCAGTAGTATTTCATCATCAGATGGCTTAAATTTTTGACTTAACTAAGTGTCTTGCAAAACTCAGATCTAAACAATATTGTTGGAACAATCTCTCTTGCCTGTTTCACAGCTTTTTTCTTTAATACAGCATATTTCTTCACCATTCCACCCAGCCCCAATAATACATTCATGCTCGGATCTCTTAAGGAGAATTCTTGGATTCACCAAGAGTGAAACAGAGTTGATAAAAATACCAAATTCAGCTTAGAGTTTTTTACTAAAGGTTTGGTGAAAATGTAGGCAGAGATAAAAGTTATCTTTCTGCATCTGCGCTTGCTTTGTCATTTTTATCACCATCCAACTGAGAAACCATGCTTTGCAGAACTAGATACTGTGAGGTTGCCCTTCCGTCTGCTTACACAATCTGTGTCTGAGAAGGGTATTTGCCTCTGGGAGTGTTGGAGAGAAGTGCTATCCTTGGTGTCACTGTACTTACTATGGGGCATGATCAATAGGGTTGGGAAGCTCACATCTCTGGACTGCAACTCCTACTCTATTCACTGTGGCACTATGGTATGGACTTCACAGCTCACTTGGGATCCATTCACATTTCTGCTTAAAAGCTGTATGTGTCTCCTCAGATTCTTACCAGTTGGTAAAGGTTCTCCCAGAAGTCCTGAGTCATTAGTCGAAACAAGGATAAAAAAGCCCAGCTGAATGTATCAAAGCTTGTGTACCCATAATTGGGGTTTCTGCCAGCTTTTACACATACATAACCTTCTGGACATTGGCTGCAAATGGGGAAAAGAAAGATTACAAGTCATCCCATTGCCTTTCTTTTCTGTTAGCACACTATACTTGCAGTATTACTTAGCCAATAATATTTGCTGTTTCCAGAGATAAAAGTAACATAAATGGTAACTAACACATTTTTCAATTTTTGATGTAATGTAATTTTAATGATCATGTAATGTCATGAAAATATGGCATAGCATTTCTAACAATATTTACAATATTTTCTGTTGATAGTGTTTCTTTGTATTTCCTTTATTTACCTATGAAATGGAATCTTTAAAGTTGAGTCATTCCCCAATATACTAGCCTAAAAGAAGCAGTATTACATGTGGAAGTATTTTATCTTATTTTAGAAAGAATCCATTTTTACCTAATATTTAACATACTCATTTAAATATTCATGAAAGTAGAAAATAAAAAATAATATGTATTTCCAAAATTTCTCATAGTATCCTGAATTAGCTTAATTATGAAAATTAGTATGAATATATGTGGTCAACTATGACTTGTTAGTTTCTACAGAAAAAGGGTTTTAAATAAATATATATATATATACACACACACATATATATATATCACATTTTAAGAATTTTTAGGAAAATGTGAGATTTAAAATGAATGTACTTGGAGTTAGCATTGTGGCAAAGAGGGCAAAACCACCATCTGTGACTCCTGCATCACATATGGGCACCAGTTGGTGGCTTTGGTGTTCCAGCTCGTGTCCAGATGGCCCAAGCATTTGGCTCCTGTACCCAATGGGGAAATGTAGAAGAAGGTCCTGCCACTGGCTTTGATCTGGGCCAGTGCTGGCAGTGTCAGTCATCTTGTGAGTGAACCAGTGGAGGGAAGAAACTCCTTTCTGTCTCTCTAATTCTGACTTTCAAAAACAAATAAGTCTGTTTTTAAGAAGGTTTGTTCCTAATGCATATTTCTGTGAACTTTTTGAAGACCCCTTATCGGCTCTATACACACAAATATAAACACATACAAATTACTGGCTTACCCTGCATCAGAGCTATTTCCACACAATAGTGCATCCAAGACACCCTCCAGGAAATAATGATATCCTATTTGAGAAAAAGAAAGCCATAAGGTAAACACTTTCACTGTTGAGAGTACTGAAATAAGAACATAAATGCCAGGTCTTACTTTTACTTTCGCTGAGCAATTTTAGAACTCCTAGTTAATTTACATAATTGTTTTATGCAGTTCATTCACATAAACAAGTATCTGTCCCTTCTCCCTCCTCATACTATATTTTATATTAAGGACAATCAAACATAAAAGAGTCAAAATTATTTAGTCACTACCAAGGTAAAATAAATGATAAGCACAAGTACAAGTACTAACAAAACATTTTAAAAAGATACCAATATTTTCCCACCACCCTCATGAATTAAAAATTTTCATTCAGTAAAAATAGATGACAGAATTTCTTTGCTTTCTCAAACTAGTCACATATTTCAAAATTAAAGGTTTATATATTTTCTTGTCTTCCATATGTTTAATTGCAAATTCTCAATATAATTTTAAATTTGTAATTTTAGAAATTAAAACAAATTTTCAGTTAATTATAATTTATGTTCTGTATAATTTTTGAAAATAATATGATTCACTTAAATCATATCAACTACTAAAATAAATTGTAAAACCTTAAACATTAAAGTAGGAATAATTTCTGATTAATAAACACCATAGTACTTCAAAGCTTCCTGTATGTGAGAAACTCAGGCTATTTTTTTTTAATTAGTTTGCCTTTTGTTTATATGAGAGGAAGAGGAATAGAAGAAGAGATGTTCCATGCACTGGTTCACTCTAAATGCTTATAGCAGCCACAGTTAGGACATCTGAAGCCAGGATGTGGGAAGTCAATCTGGGTGAGAGGTCCAAGTTCTTGACTCACCATCTGGCTTCCAGGGTGTGCACTAAAGAAAAGTGGATTCAAGAGCAGAGCAGGGACTGTGATATGAATTGTGGGCACCGCAAGGGATATCCTAACCATGGAATCAAAGCACTATGCCCAACTTCTGCCCCTCGCTGGTTTATTTCAGGGTCCTATTGAAGTATCAGTTTCAGTCATAATGCTTTCAAATCTTAATGAATTTAATGAATTTAATTCTCTATTACTTTTAAAGACCGGTCATTTCATTTGTATTTGTATTTGTATTAGAATGAAAATAATCTTTTAAAAAATAATCTTTTATCAATCAGTGGACTGTTATTAGGGGAAATGATGAGAATGACATATTGCTAGAGCTGAAAATAATTTCAAGTATTATTAATATTTTTAAGTTTTGGGTGTAAGAAAAATGAAGTCAAGTAAATTTATACCATAGAGAATAAATCCGAGGGACATTGTCCTGGCCCTTACTGTGATTGTCCGTGACGAGAGCAGTTGACCCAACAGCATCATAACAAGTGAGTCAGGATTATTCATGTGTTGTCCAGACTCCTGTTATTCTTAATTAAGGCACTTTTTAATTTAGAGATTTACAACCGTTTTGCAAGTTGTTTGTTAGCATATGTCTGGATACTGGGAAAGAGTTCATCTGTACTAATGGGAGGGAAATTTGTAATCACTGAACCTGACAGTTCTTTCACTTAAAATTTTTATGATTCCTTTTCATTGCTTTAAGAATTATTAGAATATTAGTCATTATTACTGATTAATCATACTTTCTCTACACAACCATTGAAGTTTCTTTCATTCTTTTTTCCAAAATATTGCTCTTAAACCCATAGTAGTAAAGACAACTATATTCAGGCATACCTGGTATTTTATTTTATATTAATTATTTTTCTTTAAAAGGACATTTCCTTTCCCATGAGTCATGTTCTGATTCTTCCTCCTTTTGCAATACTGCTGCTTGAGAATATTAATATTGAGGAAGTGGTGGAAAACATTGATTACCTCTATTGTTGTTTTAGGAAGATGAAAGCATTCAGACAATAATTTTGGACCATCTAAATGTTTGACTATTTTTGTATTCATTAAGTCAAGATAAACTGATTCCTGTAACTACTCTGATTTATCTGACAGTTTTTATTACTCTGTCCAATCTTAATAGATACTGATTTTCTGAACTTGTAGTACTCCAAATATAAAATATAATACACACACACACACACACACACACACACACACACACACACGAACATTTTTAGGCCTCACTTGATTTCTGCAAAATAACAGAATTAAGTAGAACACACTGAAGTCATGTGTTATGATTATTGTCATCTAAACCCTGTAAATTTTCTGTTACCTTACATAGGTAGGTACTTTCCAATGTAAAAGGTTTTTAACATATTTCATCTACAATGATAATTATAATTATCACAGGAAGAACATATACCAACCAATGGTGCCAGAAAAAATTCTTTTTGGCTGAATTCTCCTGCCTCCCACAGGATGTAATATAGGCACATAACAAAATTCTTTACAATTAGTTTCAAGTATGTGATTAATGTATCACATTCTAAAGGAAAGAAATTCCAAATAAAATTTAAGTTTTTAAAAGTGGTTTGATTTAGGTCACTTTCTGAGATCACAACCTTTCAGATGATCCTTTTTACTTTTTCAATGCCTAAATGGATGGCAGATCAACAATGAATATACTTAAGTAACAATTCTTACTTGTATCTTGAATGTATGATTTCCAGTCAAACTCAAGGACAGTTTCATTGATGATTGTGCCATTGTTATCCACAGTAATATTCTTCTCTATACTGTGTTCTTCCAAGGAAGCATTGGTGGGAGGCCACTGTATACACTTGTTCCTCAGGTTGCCCATGAACAGCTGCAGCCCTATTAGAGCAAACACGCTCAGACAGAACACGGTCAGGATCATGACGTCAGAGAGCTTCTTCACCGACTGGATCAGGGCCCCCACTATGGTCTTCAGGCCTGAAAGCAAGGAATCTATTACTATGAAGACTTAACATGTCTGAAAAAAAGATCTGTTTCATGCGATTTTATGTGCTTTTTACACATTTTCCTTGAAAATTTAGATTCTTCTCTTAAATCCAAAATGGTTTCAGCTAGTGGAAAAGCCACCCTTCACAGAAGTCTAAAGGGCTTACAGTGACGGTGCTCCAAACAATGAGAAGAAAATCCAAATATCCCATCATGTTGACAGAAAAGAATGAGAGACTCAGGGTATACACAGAGCCTAAATTAAGAAAACTGGTTTGTGTTTCAACTTTTTAGAAAAACGTTTCTTGATGTGGAAAGCAGTGATTGAGGGAGAGAGAAAAAAATAGGAGATGGAAGTGGGGAAGAGAGAAAAGGGAGAGGAGTGGGAAAGGGAAAGTGGCAGGGAGAGATAGAGTGGTCTTGCATCTGCTGGTTCACTTCCAAGATTTCTGCCATAGGCTGAGTGAGGCCAAAGAAAGCCAGGAACATGAAGTTTCTTTTGGATCTCCAGTGCAAATGCAGGGGCCCAAACACTTGGGCCATTTTTCATTACTTCTCCCAGGCCCTTGTCAGGAAGCTAGATGGGAAGTTGAGCAGTGGGGACATGTGTTTGGGAAGCTGGCATCATAAGCCACAGCTTTATGCTCTGCACCACAATTCAGGTTCCCGTATTTCTACATTTTGCAATTGAAACATATCCCATATTTTCATTAGGGTTAGCTGTTAATTTCATAACAAATTATTTGGATAAAGATTTTAAAGTCTTGTTTATAATTAGGACCATTTTGTTATAAACCAAAAGTGGTTTGGAATACAATTGCACTTTAAGACAATTGCACTTTCATTCATTCATGCAATTTTTATTATCTTATTTCCTTGAGTTTCAATAGCAAATGCCTTACAAGATTTGCATCCTATATGCATAAACATCAAGGCTGCAATAATAAAGAAACCAAAGATGGGTAGCGTGGAAAGAAAATAAAACTTTGGCAAAACTGGCATGATGGGGGGAAAAAAGGACACTGCTAAATACAAATCACACAGAAAGCATTTTACGGCCTCCTGCAAGAAACCATCCAACCATAGAAACCTTTGTCTGGACACTAAAAGTAATTTCCTGTGAGACATTTGTCTTAATGAATCTCAATTTTCTATATTGCTGAATATTAAACCAAAGAAACAGATTCTATATATAGACAACCTTGCTACTTA